CAAAGCCATCTTCAAAATCCTCCACATTGTCGAGGTGACCTGCGATTAGCGGGGAAGGGCGGACGCAGTGGGTCACCGGAGAGCAACCGCGTCCGCCCTCCTCGTTTTTTGAATTGTTCTTGAACGATGGAGATGGCTGTGGCATAGCCGCATGGATACAAGCACTCAGCAAGCGATCAGCATTTGCTAAAAATGAAAAAATTCTCACATGATAGTTGAAAGGGGTATGAATTATTCAAGATTGACTGAACATAAGTTCGCTAACCATTAGGCGAATGATGTAGACCGTCTCCAAGACTATGGCGTGACTTCCGCGGTGACGGTTGCGCCGATTCTATCATGTCAGCAAGAAGCCGATCATCTGCCATCATTCTGAAATTCATTGTTTATAACTGCCCAGCTCAACAGTCCATTGAAATCGTCACTACTTACTTGAGCTCAGTCAGCCCTTTTTGATACATTTTTGTGCAGAACAAACTGTTTGGGGGTAATCGCAATGAATTCTGGCCTGACAAGACCCATCTGCGGCAACAGATATCGGTTACTCTTTTCGTGCCAACTCGGTAGCGATCAACTAGCGCCTTTAACACTCCTTGCATACAATCGAGACAGTGCTTTCAAAAATCAAGAAACGACTTGAAGGTTTGTTTTTCATCTTCTAAAATGACTCTGTTGCCGTACCTAAGAACTTCTCGCCCTCTTAGAAAAGTCTATTCCTTCTCGTCGAGAGTTTTTTTTAAAGGTCCTCATTGATATACAGTATAGGCTGGGATTGAAACCGCACCGTTGTTGTTTTGGTGTTGCCGATCGCGGTGACGGCTGGGGCAACTCGGCCTCTATTGACCTCGTCAGCAGATCAGACCCATCGACGTAATTTGCCTCCAACTCCGCATAAACATCGTCAAGTGAAGATGCAGGACAAGCAACATCTGAAATGAGATATTTGACCCTTTGTTCTTGCTGACACACTTTCTCTGATTTCTGTACAATAAAACGGTTTCTGTTTTTCGAGTACTGCACAGACCATGGGCACATTGTGAATTTAATGGAATTGAAGAAATTGTTGACTCGTAATAGAATAGCGAACCCTTTTAAGGTGTGGTGGTGGTGGTAAAAAAAAATGGTGAAAAACTAGAACAAGCAGAAGGAAACCCTTACCTAAGCAACTCTGCGAGGGCGCCCCCGCCAACTTACCACTGAGTGACGGATGAAGGAAACCGCCTCGAACTTTTGCGCTTTTCACATTTTCTTTCTTATTTATTTTCAATTTCTCCAAGCTCGAATGTTTTGTTTATCTCGACGCTTTGTTGTGGTTAATGGTAAAAAGACGGTTTCGGTGACTCTCCTCACCACCGTCTCCAGGAGTTTTCTCTTTCAGCTATCCACCATCACACATACCTACTCACTCACACACGCATCTACACATTCACACAATTTACTAATAATCGACTATACCCAGTTTCATAGGACAAAACACTGACCATTACTTCCTGCATCTTTCGGCGACACCAGTTTGTTAGCTGGAAGTTGAGGGTTAAGAACGAATGCAGGAAATGTTGGTGTTGGTTGATCATCGACAATAGCCGTTGCTGTATCGCTAGCCGTCAGACCAGACTGTGGTTCACTGGAAGAAGCTGCTGTGGTGCTACCGCGAACGTTCACGCTGAGTGGAGTGGATGTATCGCCTGAAGATTTTTAAGATATGACCAATAAGTAGTGGTAGTCGCCTTCAGTTCCGAATGTTTCGTATCAGAAATTACAATCAAGAGGAAAAGCCATCATCAATGTTGCTATAACAAGTTGGAAAGCGAAGCTTAATCAGCTAAGATGAACCAATAAACTGTAAGATTAGTGACTATTGTTTTGATAATTTCTCTATAAAAGAAGAACTATCACCTTTTGACGCAACCATTTTGGCACATTGTGTCGGGGAATCTGGTAGATCAGATGGAGACACAGGAGACATGCGATTGCTGTTCGTAGCTGTGTCCAGACAACTTTGCCAACCCACTGAGGCGTTCTGAAAGTGATATATAACGTTGAGGAGCAAGACTCGCAAGCATTACGATAAAAAACGACAAAAAATAAACTAAAAAGCTAACTGGTAATTCGCTTCCTAATGAAGCAGCACTGCCACTCCGAGTACATCGGACACTGTCCTCCAAATCGGGGTCGCCTGTGATTTCGTCTGGTATGATAGACGGCTGAAAAATCGCCCAAATGAAGTATTCAACTCATTACACTGCGCTAAAAACCTGGCAAAAACTTTGAAAAAGAATCCCGCGAGCTTCTCACAATAGTTATAGTTGAATAACGAGTGAATCACACTGATTACGGAAGAGTCAGAATCTCCCCATAATTAACTGAAAAATCGGCCTCTTAGGGAGCGCCACAGTCAGCGCGGGCAGCAGTATTCATGCTAAAGGCCCATCTTAAGTCGTTCAAGTAAGCGAAGACCTCATTTATCAATGTATTATGGGATCGTTTTGGGCAAATATTTAGAAATTTTGGGGAGCATGGTGAATGAGTGGATGATGACCATTATTCTAGCCTCTTTTTCATAAATAACTCACCTGAACAGGTACCTCCTCATCAACGATGAGACCATGGTACTGCGCTGGCGGAGGAGCAAAGCCATATGCTGGTCCAGATGAAGGAGGAGGTCGTAAAGCGAATGAATTAGGAGGAATGCTGAATATTCGCTTTTGGGCAACGAAATAGCTCCTTACCATGGCAGTACAAAACATGGCTATCCATACACTTACTTGTGTGTTGGGCCTGCGAAACCTCCACGAGTGAAATGTCGTGGAAGACTGTTAGATCGATGATCAGGGTACGACTGCGGGGTATAGCACCCCATTGCAGCTCCAGGTGACATCCGAACCCCTCGAACTGCCAAAAGACGCGAGTCACGGGGAGAGCACATAGATTCACAACCCATCGATGTTGACATTTCTGGAACCCATGAGCTACAAGATTAAGGTTGAAGACGTGGAGAGAACTGCGGCGACCAATAAAGGGAACAGTCCCTCAAGGCAACAACATGAAAATTGACCTGCATAGCGTGTGTATCCTACAGGTTGATTGAGATGATTGAGAACTGCTTTGACAGCAGCTCTAATGTCCTCGCGTGCAGAGTTTCGTAGAACATTCAATTGGTTCATACCCATTACATCATGTCGAACTAGTGACTATAAAGAATCGATCTACAGCCGAATTACAGTGTAACATCGATTTATTCAACATACACCCTTACTCACAAACCTGCAAATGAGGATCCTTAGCGATCAGATTAGCTAGCGCACCAAGGGTGTTCGCCACAATAGTGAAAGAGGCACTGCTGAGGAGCTGTACCAAGCGCGCAGCCAGTTCCGGCCTTGCACTGAGATGACTAGAGTTCGTCGACAAGTACTGGGAAACATACTTTAAAATACCCGAGGCACTTTCCACCACCGCCTGAAATATGATTTGTGAGTAAGCTTGCGTAGAACAGAAATCAGCTGTTCTATCTGTCCAGCAACAAGGTCATGAGGGAGAAAAGATAAAAAGTTCAGGGCAAAGGCCATACAAGGACGCGTTCCAGTTTTCCGCACGATGCGAAAAAAAAAGAATGCTTTTTTTTCGAGCAGCAAAAACAGCCAAAGGTTGTCAGCAAAAAAAAATAGTAATCGTTGGACTTATTGAAGTGCAGAGTCGCGCTATAGCACCCAACAACTCCCACCACTTTTACAAATACACTTACAAATACAAGGGAAAGAGTTAAGATGATTTTCTCAACGGAAGACATTATACGATGGCGTTTGAAATTTTCTTATGGTAGTTCTTGAAACACTTTCCTTTTCATGACGGAGAGTGTTGTTTTTCAACTGACATAGAAAGTCTGCTATTCGCCTTCTTTCAAGGTCGAGGTCTTAAAATCGTACTTCAAAAAAAAAGTTCAGGTTTTATTTGACGTACCGTCATTCTGGCATCATTCGAAAGCAATGAAATGAGAAGCGCAAGAAATCCTGGTTCGTCACATATGGCGCGTTTGTTACGTTCCGAATGCGAAGCTAAGTTCCAAAGCGCGCTAAGAATAGCACGCACACATCCTAAAAATCTCTTCTTCCCCTCCTTTCTTGAATCTCGTCCTCAAATGTATTGACAAGTAGAATAGTTAAGAAGAAACAAACCTTCATCATGCTCGTTATGGGCGGCGACAGCAGCGCGAGATAACGCCTTCGCTGTAGGCGATAACACTTCACTCATTTTTCCATCAGCCATCCAGCTTAGGTTTCGTACCAATCCCGCATACACCTAAACAGAAAATCAGTTGAGCACACTAATTTTCATCACCCATCATTCTTCCCCAATAAAAAGCCGATCCAAAATAAAACGTACGAGTTTGTTTGCTGTCAAAAACAGTTGCTATGACATTTGGATAAATTAGTTCCGTTTATGGCGCTTCCTTTCCCTTTTCACACAAATTTCTATACCGTCCTTACCGTTCTGCCCTTTCTAATCACCTTCAGTTCACTGTACGTTCCTCCAAATGGTGGGATCATTGAGAAAAAAAAGGAACGAAAACGTCATGAGCTGCCGTAGGAGCCAGTGATTCATCACTATCTCACTGGCGCACGAAGGAGTTACATAAATCACCAAGTGAGGTAGACAGTAAAGGTATTCTCTTTCACCTCAATCGTGCTTCACCTAAAAATGATTCCTGTATCGGAAAAACTAGATGTGGTCAGATAATGAAGATACAGAGCACGAGTTCTGAGAGAGACTATTGAAGTTCGGGTTATGATATTTAGTAGATAACCGCACGCTAATAACGGTCACAGTCAAACCTAAGCACGTGTAGTGTCGAGTTCCTTACAATTGCACGCATTAATATTTGATATTGTGTTGAATAATGACCATACCCTGCATATCCTAGAAAATTCTCATACTTCCAATGACGCCCACTTCCTCTTCTCACATTCGTCGGCAGCTACGTTGACCATATTTGACTTACACAGCCCAATAAGTAGGCTTAAGCACTCGGAAATGATGGCTTAGTGAACGAAGTATTACGTCATAACCATTATTCAAGAGCATGATTGTGGTTGTGGCTGTGAGAACTATCAAGGTCTTTGTCGCAGCACTACGATAAGGTCCTCCGACGACTAGTACATGTATTGGGAGCTATGAATTTCTCTTCAAAGCTGTTTAATGGAAGCGTATTGATCATTTTCTGCAGATTATCTACATACTTACTATAGAAACTAACCAGTGTGAGTAATTCAAGTGTTCCTGAATGATTGTCTGATCCTTCAATCTTTTTAGCTCTTTTATTTTGGTGGTAGAGGGCGGAGATGGTGTAGTGGCATGTGGCGCACTTCACACAACACACACACATGGTCACCAGTTCGAGTTCTGGATCGTTATGCGCCTAGGCCAACCGAGCCTGGGGGACAGAACTTACGTGCGTNTGCGTGGTGATTTGAACGATTCTGGCGCCTATCTTTGGGGCCCAAATTGGAAGTAAAGTAGATTAGTAGTATCAGCTGACTCTACTAAACTACTCTACTTCGAGTTTGGACCCCAATGATAGGCACCAGAGTCGTTCGAATAACCACGCACTTCGCCGCGCGTTTGCCGCGCGCATCCTCGGACACACGTAAGTACCCATACCCACGGAGCCTTCTATCCCTCCGGGGTCGGCTAATTGGTACCATACTCGTCTGGGAGGATAAAAGCACTGACTTATACATCGGCATGCCACCGCAAGTCATTGAACATATTACATACGCATCCAATACGCCACTACGATTCTAAATGGAAGTCGAATCCGTGGGCGCATCCCTCTGAAGGGATTGATTTACGCCCCAAGACTTTATCCTTTACCCTATACTGGAGTGACAATGTGGTAAACTGTTAAATCCCTAATTGAAATCCTCTGCTTCATTGCTTATAACTAATCTCGGAAGTTGAACTGCATTTACAATCTTTCTACTGTGCATCTCATCGTGATCGCCTTTGACGAAGAGATGTAATTTAACATTACATTGTAGCGTAGGATATGTTTCTACTGTGTTTACAACTTACTTATGTTTAGTTCAAGTAACCTACAGGTGCAGCTTTTGGATATCCATTTTCAAAGATCCGGGTCTGAAAACCCTGACGGCACCAGCACTTCGACAAGAATTTCGATATCGATATTCTAAATCCATGCAAACCTTATCGAAAGCCATATGTTCAAATTCATCCAAACAGGGCAGGCTACAAATTTCAATCACAACATTGAATCATGATGAATCTTGATTTTCACTATTATTTACTGCCTCTGTTCCCCCCCCCCCTTTCCGTGCAGATAGAAGACTGAGCGCGAGTAATTCAGTTAAGTGTAACACTGCAGTTAACTTGCGCTCATTGACAACGCCGCCATAACAGCAGGAAACCACACCCTGGCCATCCGCTCACAACACGGCTGGCATCGGCTAACGCAGCACTTCAAAAGCCTGATAATGTCCCCTTGAGACCACTTACTACGTGCCCAACTGTTAACGCGCTCCCACAGCTTATTGTTAAACTCCGAGAAAATAGGCGGCAGACTTAGGCCATTTACCACTTCCGTCTCCGCCCCTTCCATCCCCTTCCTTCTAAAACGTAAACAACAATAAATAGTAAAGACATGGCGACGACAACGAAAGGAACGCCTCCAGTTTCATAACCTTGAATAGCATACGATAGCTAAATTATAGAATAGGAAATGCGAAAGGCTGCCGATGGCCGGCCGTGACCTATTTTCTCGCTGTCTGATGCAAACAACTGAGAGGTTCAATGGAAAGATCTTGAATTTGGAGAGTCGCGCAACTAAAACCACCATACGATAGAAAAACAAACCTGTGCTAGATTCCTCGCCTCGTTCAGTATCCTCACAACTGACGGTATGAAACCAGAATAGAAACACAGACGACGCTTGCTCGCTGCATGACCATATGTCAGATTGGTTAGGGCATTAGCAATGAGTTTCCGAAGGGAACGATGCTCATTTCGACTTGGAAATTCAAACACTGTCAATTCTAGGACTAGCAATTCCGCCAAACTTTCGACAAGACCTGGAAGAAAAGTGAATTATGGGACATAACATAACACATGGGACATAACAAGTATTTTTGTGAGGATGCATTTGCACTAACCCAAAACAATAGCCACTTTTCTATATTCTTCATCAAACGATTCCTTTACGATACAGTCAAGAGCGCTAAACAATCTTGGATAGTACGATGGTGCTGGCACTGAGTTATGGGGAAGGCGGCGTAGGTAGAAGATCTGAATAACAAATTTCATCTATCTCCCATACGTTCTGAAGTTCTCGAACAGCCTCATGAATACACCAACCTGTTCACGTACACAGTTTGATGGTGGCAGTGCCCTTCGCATACGCCGCCTTCTAAAAAGCCATTGAATATCTTCGCGAACTCTATTGAGAATTTCACAGATGATTGACAGTTCAGAGAGGGAGGCTTCGATGCAAGACGTCGGCCAATGGGTCTTAAGAGTTTTTGCATTTCATGATGTGACCTCCAAACAGTCATTTTATTTCATTCACCTTCACGCCGAAGGACGCTCATAATTATTGAATGGGCTTATCCACAGGGGCATATGAAGGGTGACCGAAAAAGTGCACAGAAATCGCTTGTCGCGAATTTTACAGCAGTGAATACAAATGATGATAATTCAGTAGACTTATCGAAACAAAAGACAAAGTCAACGACAAAAGAGAAAAACAAATGTACCGAGTATCATCCTGATCTTGCATTATCACAGCATGTATTCGTTGGTGAGTTATTCGGAGCAACTCATCGTCCTCGTCACTGGTTCGTCGATGCCGAACTTCTTCCAGGCGCAGTGACGACAGTAGATTAACCACTGACAGTTCAACATCAACAACCTTAAAACTTGAGATCAATCGCTATTTTCAGCTAGGGACAGAAAAAGAGGAACCAACCTCTTCATCATAGTAGACTGCTGATGAAGATGGCATCTGCCCGACGCCGTTGTCCTCAAGATCTTCGTCACTCATTGTATCACCCAAGGACCCTGGAAACTTCGTGACTTTCTTGCATTCTCTGCACAGTGGTTGAACGACGAGCAAATCAGGTGACTTGTAGGAAGCAATTGTAGAGAGCCACTTAGGCGAAAGTACCTACTTGTAGTGCTTAGAGTAGGCCTGAGCAATATTGGAACGGCATTTCAGCTATTTCCAGGGGAAACCGATCTCGGCGAGGAGAAGATGACCTTGACGTGAGAAATCGCGAACCGTACGACCTTTCACTGCGGTTTTGGGCTCGCGAAGGAGCGAGAGCCGCCTGCATTCTCACTTTCCCCGCTGCCAGCGCATGTACCCCCTCAACTTTCGCTCCCTTGAGCATGCTGCCGTACAGCTCATCACAGCTTACGAGACGCTCTACAACGCCAGCACAAGCCAATCACCCGATCAAGTGAGTCTACGTTCAAGCCCTGATTCGCAATCATCAGCGTGCAATCTGATCAGACCAACACCTCTTCGTCTCGCCGCACTTCCAGTTAAAGAAGAACTTCCTCTCGATCTATCCGCTCAAAATCGTCAGACGGTAATACAAAATGGTGGTCAACCTCAGAAGACAACCAGCGGCGACTCACAACCTCTTCTGCCGAGTTGTATTGACGAGAAACTAAATGCCGAGTGGATTGCACTGAAACTAGCTGCATCTGCTGGCAGCAACAGAATGTCGTATCCGAGGGAATTCAAGCTGATGGTTATTGACTATTACCAAAGGAATGGCCAGAACAAATACCGCACCTGCAAGGAATTTCAAATTACCAAGTCTATGTTGAACGGATGGCTATCAAAGGTACGGCTAACCTCATATTTGAAAAATCAGTACGGTTACAGATGATTAAGGGAATTTTAGCCGGGAGCAGCTAGTCATAATATAAAATTTGTTGCCTATGATTACTACTTTATGAACACAACTAATATGAAAGAGTATTGGGATTATAGTGAGAAATTGAGTTCGTAAAAATTCGGTCTGAAATTTTCGCTGCTTTGGTGTTCATTCTCTGTTGTCCCTAGGAGTATATCCAGTCACAAACCAAATCAGTTTATGGATGTTCATGTTTTTGAATCCGAGCAGTATGACCATTGTAAAATCAAGATAAGGATTCGAGGTGAACTTCAGTATAGTAAAGGGTGTCGCTGGTAGAATTATTACCGCAAGCTAGCCGGCAACATTTTTTAACGTCTGGTGAACTCCCCTCATTTCGACATCCCTTTTAGTTGGAGGATAACGAAAATTTCGACATTTTGATTAAAAAAGCCTTTGACATCTGCTCTGTGAGAACTGTTCTGAAATACCCTTGAGCCAATTTTGAAGATGAACCCTTTGAAGTAAGAGATTAGTGGTACCCTAGAGTTATACAAAATCGCTGAAACGTACAGCCTTAATTAGTCTTGCTACCAAGTCACAGCTGTTTGCTCAAACTTAGCTTTTCAGATCGAGAAGATTCGCGAATCACGACCGGGATCGCTGAAATCAGGCAGAAGTGGAAGGCGACCACAGTTTCCAGACATCGAAAAGCAGCTATTCGCACTGTATTGCCAGCGTATAGAAAATGGTAGCAAAGTAGGCAATCGCTGGTTGAGGGAGAGAGCTAGAGAACTGGCTGGCGATGTTAACGTTGCTTGTCAGTTCTCGGAGCGATGGTTGAGCAATTTTAAGAAACGCTTTCACATAAATTTTCAACGAGAAAGCGATTCATCGACAGATTCGCATTCAATACGTTCGGCGTCGAGCGATAAACACACTTTCTCGGACACTGAAACGGATTCATTCAATGACTCTGCCGAGCAAGAAGTTGGGATTCGCAAAGAGGTCGTCGCTGAGATTGTTAACCAACCAGGACAGCTTCCTATTCAAGCGTTCTATGAGAAGTTTCCATGGCTGTGCAAAAAAGGTGTACATGTTGAAGCGGGAAGACGGGGACGTAAAGTGCAATTTCCAGATGTCGAACGGGTTCTTTATGAACGTCTTCAGGAAAAGCAGAAGACTGGAGAGCGTATTTCAAACCGATGGCTTCAAGATCAGGCACGAGACTTAGCAGCAGAGTTGTGTCCTGGAATTCTGGAAGAAGCTGTGAAGTCTTCACGATGTCTTTTCTCAGAACACTGGCTTCATAATTTCAAGAAACGCTATGGAATAAGCTTAAAGTATAAATCTACGCCTTTGGCAGATATTCCAGACAACGCTGCTCAAAAGCAGCCGCCCTCCTCCGCTGAAGCGATCGATGCTAACCTGGCAGTTCTTCATCTACAAGCGTGGTTTATGAACCAAAGCTATGCATCGCCTCTGTGGTCATCGGGTAATTCTTCAGCTTGCACATTTTAATGATACTCAATCACTCTCCTATCCGGGTTATAGTGACAATGGCAATAGTTCACTTCAAAAATTAGAACACTACGGTACTGTGATTTGTAAAAGTTACCCTGTGATACAAATCTGCAATATATGTATGCAATAAGACTAAGAATTGTATATGTAGATAGGTAGCTTCTGCTTTCTTTTCAATTCACCATAGCAAATAAACCTTTTTAAATGAGAAATATGCTCATAGAATTCTATAAATGGAAAGACCTCTTAGTATGAGTAAAGGAACCTTCTTCAAGAGAAAAAAGAGACAAACATGAGATATTGGAGGTATAAATGAGAAGGCCGCTTACTGCTCGGAAATGAGCGTCTTGTGATATTACGATATGATTTTTTCAGTAGCTATCCATAAGATAGCGAACACGAACGCTAGCAACAAAAACTGTTTGAAAGAATGTGAAGAGGAATTAAAAGTACCTCTTATTTCTAGCACAGTCGATGGTATCAATTATGAGCAATACATGTGACCCTGAAAGATCGATCATCCACTTATCCAGAGAATTTTCGTTTCGTTGTCATTTGAAGAAATAAATGAGTGGGTAGAATGCCAAGCGGATTGGGCGAACTGTTATTTTTCGATTGTAATAGGAAAAATTCAAAAATTAAAGAAAAAATCTGGGAATCAGAGAAACGAAGAATATCGACCCAGGAAGGTGAGTCGATGAACCCCGATCACCACCATGTTCCAACGACAGTATTTAAGTAGCAGAAAAGCAAGATAACTGTACGACGGATACAATATTGTAAATGAAGCCTGGCAAAAAATAAGGTTCAGGAATAACATTGGAAATATTAAAAACTACATTTCGTTGTAAACGAACTATTAGTATAGAAGGAAAGAAATAAAGGTGTAGCTGAAGAAATAGCACTTTTGAACCGTAGCTGTACATGTAATGCAAGAAAAGGTCGGTGGGTAAGAGTGCGCATCTGGGGGTATCGACGGGGTGGCGGTTGGCGTCGGTCGACCGCGCCAGTCTTTCATCTCACCGCCAAATGAGTACCGACTACCAGCAAATTCAAATTCGGACAATTCGCCGACAACAAAAAACGTGCCGCCTTCAAGCAATCGCCGCATAAACGACCGAAAACATAACCCTAATGGCATGAAAACAAGACCCAAGAAGTCACATCGTAACGGGAACGTGGACGGACATATCATGAAACGTGATCAGAAAGAAAAGGAATGCAGTGAACCAATCGCATTCATAGAAAATAGTTGAGTTGCTTTAGAGGCAACAAGGAAAAGCTCACAGCACCCATAAAACTTTTTGCTAAAACCCGCAAGCGGTTGCGACGCGGTTTTTGATTGGGGCGCGAAATACTTGTTGCGCGTTTGAATGCACAAACTTGACATTGTGGTGCTTTGGATTGGCTGTGTGTTTATTCATCGTTTCAGTTCCAGTGATCTTGAGTTAAAAAGTTGGCAAGTCTGTAACTTACGTTATGATGCAAGAGCCGTTGTCTTCACGTGCAGACACATTTCGACATACTACCCCTAGGTTTATATTCTGAAATGTTGACGCGCGTGTTTTGTGTTGCATTTAGTCATTTTGACCCGATACTAGCTGATATCTGTCCAAACAGACCAAGACCCAGCCTCCAGTCAACATGGCTTGGTTACATTTTTGTGCACCCACTCATTTGGATTGTATATTTGTTGTAGATAGGGGCGGCACGAAACTAGAAAATGGCAATGTAAAACTATTCTGTGAACTTCTCAGGAACCTTCCAGAGTGTAGGGAGAGGCGCGAGGAACAAACGCGAAGCTCCAACTTGCACGTTATTTGCATCATCTTAAGCTTAATTCTAGGTTTAGGTAGAGCTTACAGAGCGCCGACCAAAATGTATGCTGCTGTCGGCTTAACCATTGATTGATAATAAGAAAAAAAGTCATCATACGCTTCAATTCCGTTTTCTAAGACATTTTTTCGCCTTTCTCCTCGGATTCAACTAAAGCTTAACGAAATAATGACGGAGGGTAATGTTGCCGTTATTTCAGGAGATGCGGTCATTGAGAGCAATGCTCCGACCGGTTTGGTTTCAACGGAGAAGGTGGCTTTCAACATTACCTTCTCCAAGTGATGACATTGAAGTGAAGAGCTTCCTTCCCTCGGAGGCATTCGTGAAGCAGTTCGTCAAACGTCCATCTCATCGCGAGAAGCTAACGTCACTTATTTCTGAACTTCAAGTACGTTGGTTTCGTTCCTTCTTCTTTACCCGGACTTCCTCACCCAATCTTTTTTCAACGAATAATTGTTGAAAGATGCAGAACTGCTTAACAGAAAAGCTTTACTTTAAGCTGATACTGTAACGATATGATACCCATGATGCCGCTTTTTGAAGTACAGCCTGTACATTCATGCTCTACTTTTAAGAGTTACGTCATCGTCAGTTGAAGCAAGATAAAGTCAGTTGTAGATTTTTCTGGAAATGTTCGGAAAGGACTCTCTCCCCCAATTCACCGACTCCATTTGGTTCACGTATTTCAACACTTGGTTAGCAGAGGAGCGATGTGAATTTCTCAATCACTTACGGCTGGAAAGAAAAAACCGTCAGTTGACCGACAGTGGTGCCGAAAAGGAGCAGGCAAGTGAATCATGTGAGTTCCCATTAGTGCCGATAATTTTTATTACTATTCATGAACTTAGCTTATTCAGATATCAGTCATCAATCAAAGAAAATATGATAATGGGGAGATGGTCTATGCACCTGGTTTCAATACCTTGGTAGAACTCCGTGGTCAAGAATTTCGAGGTACGTTGAGATTCTACCCATTATTCTTCTCGTATCAGGTTTTACTTCCAGTTTGAGTCGAATATGAGCAACTGCGTTAGTGGAAAGTAGGCCTAGTTCCATTTCCCCTAACAGCTTAGCTATTTTCTACCAAGGCGTTCGTTGAATTCTTGGAAATTTTGCATTCCAGGCGCTATTGATCGCATGTATGGGAGCCGCTTCCTTTCACTGCAGAGGTGCGAAGAGGAGCTCCCAAAGTTAATAGTCGACTGTAGATTCCTTACTCAGTACAGTGTAACAGTCCAGTCAACATTTGTCAGGTATGCAGAGAACAAAGTTCTACAGTTTACTCGTGTCTTTCTAAAGTTCTTCTTCGATTTCAGGCAAATACAAGCTCTTCATGACAGCAATTGGAATTCTCGCCTTCCGTTCAATATCACAATAGCAAACTTTCGTCCGGACAACCAACTTGCAGAAATAATCAAAAGGTGACAACTGCTACTTATTACCTGAACGAATAGCCTACATTCTTAAGTTTATCTTGATGACTTGTTGGTTCGTGGCCAAGTTGAATAGATAACTTCGATTTTTAACTAAAAACTCGACTACATCTAACAATGTGTAGAGAAGTCTCTGTTTGAACTGCTCTCGGCGTTATGCAGCCTGCATTGCCAACAATAGGGAGGCTCTGCTGTTTTGACAGTGGTAGCTTGGGTCCGAAACATTATTCCGAATCTAATACAAAAGCGAAGCACCGCCAAATCTTTGTTGCGCCTTGAAACTTCAGCGACCATTTCATGACACTGAGAGGGCTGATGTGGTTTCGAATGAACGGGGGAACCGCGCCAAGTCTATGGAGAGATGAGAACTATGTTAGACTAAGAAACTGTAATTGTCAAGACTTTGTGAACGGAAAATCTGCATTCTTTTGTGCCCTTTTTGGGAAATTGATTAGCACTTTCTATCTGAAGACATTTTGCGATTTGCGACGCGTCCCGTAACAATGTATTTCTACGTAACAGTGCTGACAAGCATTTGAAATTTTCTAAGCAAAGTGGGAAAGTAGAGTTTTATCTCTGTGTAGAGTTTCAATGTTTGTTATTTTACCAATTCCAGGCATTTGCTCTTTCACTTTGGACCACCATCTAGCAGTGATTCGTTTTCTCGTCATCCCTTCGCCCCTACTTTAACGACGAAGGGCATTGAGTATGCTAGTGGAAGCCCTTGTTCAGGTAAACTATTTTCCAATTCAAGCTTCATTCTATGAATGATATGTTTAACTACAGCGAGAGAAAAACTGATTCAATAATTCAAACTCGCTTATCCCGGCTTCTTGTTCATTGTCGACCACTTTTACCAAGCACGAGAAGATAGTAGCGATTTAGTACCAAACTCGTTTCTGTTTTCTTTCAAACACTTCTGCAAAGCGCTCATCTTTCATCTCATCATTCTCCGCAAATTTCATCACAATTCCAGACATCATGTATATTTCTTGGCGAGCAACTCAGTTCCTGCCGGAAGAGCCTCCTCCAAATGTTCGTGCTGTTGTGCTGTGTGCCAGTAAGGACTATCAGCCGTGGTCGAGNTGGAGCGATATGTTAGGTGACTCCCTTTGATATGATTGCTCCTTGTACTCTGCAGAGCATTTTTGATTTCTTACAAAGGTCCCTTGAATTTCATGACATCGCATCACAGATTCGAAAAGACATCCAAGTACCTCCCATTGAGTGCAGTATCGTCAATCCTGCGTTCATACTTCCGAAAAGATGATATTGGGGAATCGATCCGCTCAGCTGTCGAATTACGCAACAAGAATGCTCGCCCAACTGACAAGAGCGAGCTGGAATTGTTCGAGGTCAGTTTTCTGAATGAATATTTTAGTAAATTTCGCGAACATTTATCTAAAAAACTTCGTTTGGTAAATCATAATGCTACGATTGTGCGTTTACTCACTTCTGAAAATATTCGTTGTTCTGATGTTCCCTTTTATACGTTTTGCAGAAATATAAGGCCGTCGTACAAGATGCGGTCGCAAAGGCGAAAGAAGAAAAGCTCTCGATTCCAAGGATAAAACCGGAACAGAAAAAGCCCAAAAAACATCGATATACTAGGGAAGAAAGAAGAAAAATGCGAGAAGAACAAGCCATGCTTTCATCTCAATCCTCATGAGCGTTTCATATGAATATCATAATCTACATATATTCCAGAGATAAATTTTATTTTTCGATTTTTCTTTCTATGCCTAATCCTTTGTTACCATGCTTGCTAAAAACGACATAGGACTCATGTAACAGGGACGTATTAATGCTTGAAATGTTAAAAGCGTTCCTGGCTTATAAGGGGCCACTCTGCTGCTGGAACCTGAAACTTGTGTCAAGCATCTAGACTTGAGTCCCTCTTAAAGGTTCTGTGTACACACCTCGTTTCAATGCTTCAACGCCGAAAACGAAAAGTTCGGAGATATGCTCTGATATGATCAACTGATAGCGATATCCATCTCTAAATAAGTTGTGCGCATACAGATGATAAGTACCCTTTTATAGTATTTCCATGAAGATTTTCAGAAATTGCGGCAGTTATGTAGAGTGTTGTGACATTTCCGGTAGACACTTTTCGCATTACCCATTGCAATCTCACGTTGATCCTTCGGGCATTGGATCACTGCATCATGGTCCCCTCTCATCCCAGGATAGGAGTGATAGTACTAAGCATTCGACCTTTTGTAGCAGTAACGGCAACGGGTAAACCACCTCACCTCGTGCTTACTGAACTTCTCTGCCAATAATGGTTTGCCATCAGAACCATGTTCGTTCACAAAGTCTAACTTCCGCGCATTCCCATTAAACCTCACTCCCTCTCAAGTGTCGTGGGACCAGCCGTCACCTTATTTGTCGGACATGCTTGCTGAGGAATCCTCAATGAAGAGGTTTGTGAGATACGGTTAGGTTTTTCAGTACGATTCTTCGACACTGCTAGATTTATTGTCTCATCTTTTGTAGTAGACTTTCACTACTTCCTTCTCGTAGGCTGCAGCACGTTTCCAGAACCCTTGACTGTTTGATTCACTTGCGCTCGTTGAGATCACGAAACCCATTTAGCCAGCAATTCTTGAAGACTTGTTTTAGTTAGCGATCAGAGCAACTTTCAGGATTCACATTCGAACTCGTTCTTGTGGGTTAGGTCACTCGCTCCTCGCTAAAACTTCCATATTAACCAATGAATCAGGTTCAAACTTCAGCACTGGAATATTTGTGATTTGTGGACGTGATAGGTATGATAAGGTTCCTAACCGGCCAACTAATCAAAGTGGGCCTGACCCTGAGGTCGTCACTTCATGCTGTCCTTGCAAAGCTTAGCTTTTCGCTCGACAAGGATCAAACTCGTGAGCTTCATGGGAGCAGGCTTGAGCTTACGTCGCTCTCTAAGTGCTTGGTTGTTCTTCATGGGAACGGCATATATTGAATCCTTGCTTGATAGCTCATCGGCTAATTGTACTGAATGTTGCTCTTAGCTATTCATGTCAGGTAAATGAAAATAGTTGTAGTTCACCGAAATGCTAGGAAAAGGAGTCATTTAGACGACGCAAGTGGTTGACGTCCAATTCCCCTCGTTCTCGACGAACAGCAGCCTCGAGCTAGTCGAAACTTCGATGCCGTGTAGTGCGGAAGGTGAACTTTTCTAATAGCATGAAGTTTGAGGTTCAGATGTGGGGAAGGGGCCCTTTTTGGATGAAGGAAGTTTGACAGTTTGACACCACTGCTAGACTGTCTTCTCTTCATGAGTCGCCATGAGTCGCGGAATTTGAGTCTGGTCTTTGCTGACATAGAGAGTCTACTCACAGGAGAGCAGCAGCTTTCCCAAAATCTTCTTGATGTAAGTCCTCTCGGTGACCCTTATTCCCAGTGACCCTCATTCCAGCCCAAGTCATGTTTGTGCTGGGTGAGCAACTTGCAAGACAATCCTCCCTTATTCGGACGTTCGGAAGCGATCTGTTTGTTTACGAATTGTTCTTTTCCGACGTGGAAGGCTATCTTTAGATGCTTTTGGGATGGGCATCCTTAAAATGGGATTGATGAACGCCAGAAAACCTCATAAATATCAAAGCAGGCAACGACTGAGAAAATGCTCCATGATGAATCCATTTCTTCTCCAAACTGAAGGACAGCAGTGCACTTGGGTTTTTTTTCTAGAAAGCCACTTCCGTTCGTTGGCTTCCCAAATGCATGTGATTTGTGAGGTGCATGTACTGTCCATTGATGCATAATTCCGGTCTGATTGTGAGATGTTTGCCGAAGCAATGAGGAGGGAATACTCGTCTCTAACTTTTTATATTGCTCATTTGCTGCTGCACTCGTTGTAGCATGGGCTAATCTCTCATTTCTTCTCTGTCCTTATGAAGTTAGTCTCTGTTGTCCATTCTCAAGTTTTGAAGCAGTGTATAAGATCATTTAGTGTGCTTCGAAATGAAGGAAGGGTTGTCAGTTGCACATCAGAGGGAAACTGGAAGGTTCTGTCGAAAACTCGGTGCAGAGGGTGCAGAGGTTGCCGTGAGCTGATTGTTTTGGGATTAAGCTCTGCTTCAGGTGCAATCGGTGGTTTAGGAAACCAGCGTATTGATCACGTCAAAGTGAGTGATCAACAAGCCAGAGCTCCTGAAAACAATAATTTGGTAGCAATGTATGGCGGTCTCTTCCGTTTCCACTATGAAATTCCTGACCTCACTTACTGGCAGCGTTCTATTACCATATCTTTCTGTAGTTTTTATTAGTATTGATATGCATCCACAAGAGATGGACCATCCACATTCACAAATACCATTTTCTAGTTTAGGCTTGCTTTTATAATGCTTATATTTATGCGCAAAGAGCTGAGGTGATATAGTGGCAAACGGCGCACCGTCTCACACCACGGTCACGAGTTCGAATCTTGGATTGATATCCGCCTAGGCTAACAAAGCCTTTCATCCGTCTGGGCTCGGCTAGTTGGTTCCAGACTCGCCTGGGAGGATAAAATCACTGATTTGTACATCTGCTGGCCACCGCAATTCATTGCATAGGCCACATACGCATTCAATGCGCCACAACGATCCCGTGCGATTTGTGTCGAATGCGGGGCGCATCCCTCTGACGGGGTTGATTAGCGCCCGAAAGTTCATCGTAATCCTTAGTACACACAATATCTTGCTCCAATGGAACTACTGCTCAGCTTTTCTTTTACTTCTGCGAGCGCATCAGCTCTCAAAAACATAAAGCAATACAGAGTATGTATGCAATAAAATAACGCTAGCTGAAATTTTATGAGGGTTCAACTGCAGCTCCTTGCCTTATTTAAACCTGGAAATGTTTCTTGGAAAAGCCCACTATTTATATAGGGGAACCAAATGCAAACAGCTTTGCTGACGTTCATGAGTGTTTGACTCTTCAAAAAACCAGTGAAGCTCAATCGTGCAACAAGAAATCGTAAGAGTTTTGGGGTCCTTTCAATACTCGACTATTTGGGTTTGACGATTTAAGGTGCTCAAGACAGTGGGTGCGATAAGTCTGCCGTGCAAACAGGCAAGCATGCGCCCAGTGGAATGGATAGACAAGTGGGAAAGTTGCTGCGCGTCACTCTTTTACCGCCAAAGGTCCATCAAGAGACGGTGGATAGGTTTGGAAGGGTGAACTAGCTTCAGAAGGACACCTCGGACAACCTAATCCAGCCGTCTCTTGTAAACAACTTTCCAGTAACCCGTCAAATTTGCATTTTAGCTTCAAGACGATGTGGCGTAAACATCCAGACGCAGCTTTTGCAAACACATACATCCCCTGAAATTTGCTGGAGAAGGCGTAACATATTTTACAGGTTCTCAACGTTTTTTTTTCTTTTGCCAATTGAAAAACCCTAGATACCAGAGTTCCATTTTCCTACATTCACCCAGACTATGTACAGTAGTACCCAGATTGCTGTACCCATAGAACTGGCTTTTGATTGAAAGAAGCAAATCGCCAATTGGGATTTAGTCCCACCCATCTCAAGGATAGGTCTAAAAAACGTTACAGTTTAGTGTCAATGGGCTCATATGGTGAAGTGACTTCAATGTTGATTAGAAACTTTGGAAATCAATTACAAGGCAAAGGCAACCACATCCCGTTGCTTTCTCCCCTTTCATTCCCATGAACCAATTCCACCTCGACTCACTTTATTTACATTTCATTCATCCATCGATTTATCTGTTTGTTCATCTCAAGGGGAAGGGGGAGGGTGGAGGGGTGGGGGTTTGGTTGATCCAATATACGGTTATAAATGATCCATAGTTACCAGATCTGCACAAAAACCTCTGGTCATCATAAACTTGCTGGAGAGAAGGGTTCGTTTTTCAATTGGCACGGAAGATTCATCATCCTATTCCCCCATGTAGCTAATGTCGTGATACGGAAAATTCTTTCCCCTATTGCTGTTGTTTGTTTTGAACCATACTTTCTTTTAATTGAGTGCAGGTTGTTGAGTTAATGTGATCTTGGAATTGTAGTTAGCGCACCTAAGCGTGCACCAAATAAATAAATAANTATGTTAGGTGACTCCCTTTGATATGATTGCTCCTTGTGCTCTGCAGAGCATTTTTGATTTCATACAAAGGCCCCTTGAATTTCATCATTGCATTTACAGATTCGAAAAAACATCCAAGTACCTCCCATTGAGTGCAGTATCGTCAATNTATAAATGATCCATAGTTACCAGATCTGCACAAAAACCTCTGGTCATCATAAACTTGCTGGAGAGAAGGGTTCGTTTTTCAATTGGCACGGAAGATTCATCATCCTATTCCCCCATGTAGCTAATGTCGTGATACGGAAAATTCTTTCCCCTATTGCTGTTGTTTGTTTTGAACCATACTTTCTTTTAATTGAGTGCAGGTTGTTGAGTTAATGTGATCTTGGAATTGTAGTTAGCGCACCTAAGCGTGCACCAAATAAATAAATAAATATTGTCAGAAGAAGCTGTCGGTGGATGTGTGACTCTTGGTTTTACCACCCACATGTGATGGATAAAGAACGGGAGTAGTCTCATTGTCAGAGGGAGCTCCGTTGAGAATATAATCTTTTTTAAACCTTCTCCTGTATGGAATGAAAATTCTATCAATCCCGAAGGATCTGCTGAGGAGTTGATAAAAACAAGATTGCACCCATTACCCAGTCATTAGCCATTTGGCAAGTTGAATCTCCCCCAAACGGCTGTCTTTCTGTCTTTTGATGACTTTTTAATTGTCGTAGCAGCTGTATTGTTGTGTTGTGTGAATCGAATGGGTCCGTCGTAACCCAGGAATAATTAGCTTTCGTGTTCAGCTCTTTGAAACTTGGGCGTATCGAAATAATCAACTGGTAATGAGACTCCCTTTAGCCCATAGGAGTTGAAATCTTTCTTAGAGGAACTTATGAATCATTCGAGAGTCGATTTTTCAGAAGCGATGGAGTTCCACCTCAGTTATACCCATAGATTGATCAGTCTGTTTAACCAGCACACCACCGTAGTTGTCTACATAGACTGATTCAGATTGGCAGGTCCGAAGAAAGTTGTTTCCATGGCGTAATCGTAAACAGAGGGGATAAATTGGTGAAGCTCGGTAGTTTCGAGACCTAATGACCTAGGTTAAACTGCAAATAACTCTTTTCTAATGGTCTCAAAAAGACAAATCTCTCTGAATAAGGTCGCACTATTGGATGGGAACATTCGTTGGATGTAATATAGAGATAAGAAAAAATACCACTACTAGTTGCCAGTGGGAGTTTTATTTAGTTATCTGATCCAAACTGTTTCGTATGCTAATCACAGTTTGATTTTCCCACCTCACACTAAGGCTATTTATTCAATGGTAGTCTGAGACTACTCTTGTTCCTCATCCATCACCTGTGGGTGACGATACCAAGGGTCACACCTTCACGGACAACTAGTCAGCCTATTTATCACCATTGAGAATAGATAAAAACAGCTGTAGTGAACTAGTGAACAAGTCCCAAGTGCAATGAGGTCGCTGAGCACGACCTATCCAACTGCCAGTCTACTCGCCAATCTCAATCTCCAAAGCTCACGTACACTAGCACCGCTCTCGAGCTAGCTTGACCCAACCTCCATCCCCCCTCCCCCAATCATGGATATCCACTGGCCTCACCTCCTATTATGGATATCAATTGCAATTCCAATGGTGTCCAAGGTATTGCCAGAGATCGAAGTCAAATATTTCTCGTCCCATATCTGTGTAGTGCCATCACGTTTTGAGAGCTTCCCATCAAAGGTGAAGCTTAGCCATTGCTAGTGAATACGAATTTCGACCTTCCGCTAGCTGCATGAAGGGCAGCACAAGGTGTTGGTGTTTCGTGTGCAGTTTTCAACGAAATCGTACTGCGTTTTCCAAAGCGTGAACAACGAGAAGGGCTTCAAGCGCTTCCACATATAATGGAGTATAAAGGACAGGAATTGTGGCTTTTAGATTGAGTAAAGTGCACATAACGATAAAGGATTGCCTAAGTAATAAGCCATTGGGGCGAATAGTGCATCTCATGGACATCGCGATTGAGTACTTTCGGTACATTAGGCTAAGTAAATGAGTACGTCGGTGGCTTTGCATAGTGAACATGGCATTGCTCAGGGTAGATAGATTATTTCTTATTCTTAGCTGACGGTTCCGGCACATGAACTTCTCTGAAGACTTCATTTCTATGGGAAATTAGCTTTGAAGTTGGCCTTTCGATTGGCCACACAGGTAAGGATTTGAAGTGGGACGTGCTCTTTGGAGAAACGTCTGAGAAAGGCTCATTTGACGAACTACCTCAACATCCCGGAGCGCTCAGAGCAGCTTCTCTAGGTGACACAGAGCGGCAAAATTCTTGCTCAGTTCCATCTACAGGACAGCATGATGGTCACAGCGTGAGGGGGTGTAGAAGGATAACTCGGCCTCGTGAGGGTTTGTTTATCCGGAAGTAGGCCAATGACGTTGACTCGATCAACACTTTAAGTGATGAGATCAGCAATCTAGCCCCAGTGCATGCTCTGTGGCTAAGAGCGACCATGGTGTATGACCTTCCAAGAACCGGAGGGCGGTGTTCCTGCTCCACGATTCACCCTGAACGCCTGTCTTGGTGACACGGGTAAGGTATTGGTAGAACACGTGGAACACCTTGACTAAGAAGTGTGGATTTTTGGTTTTGCCATCAATGAAGCACTTTTAAGGCCATCAAAGCACTGACTTTGAAGTTAAAAGAATCGCAGTGAACGAGGATGACGTCGGCGCTAGGGATATAGCGAGGAGTCTTACATCTGCTCACGGAATCCTAAGCTGGACATCTGAAAGCTGAGTCAATCTGAGAACATGGATATTACGAGTAAACTTCCGACTTTCATTTTCCCATGTCTAGTTCAAGTACGATGTGAGCCGTATAACTTTTTACTGCGGATTTCCCTCTACTGCCTCCATTTGTTCATCGTTATATCTCTTCTTAGCTTATGACCGATGCCTTTTATTTCAGTGGTTTCATCGTGTTTGTTTTTTAGTTGTTTGTTTGAAGAGAAGGTGTAGTAGCAAAAGACGGCCCATCACGCACGCACGGTCACAGGTTCGAATCCCGTATCGACCCAAAAGGGACACCGTCCCCACAGTTTCTCTCGCATATGACCAGTTCTTCATATCAGGACTTGGCGATTATGCCTGGTCTGATTTGTATATTCTATAATGAAGGATGGTTACGATTTATCTAGTGAGCATAGATTTCCTCGGAAAAGCTTTGTAATCCTTCAAGACGGCTCGTTTTCCTCTACACGAACGGCATGCTTTTCGGATTGAGATTCTAGATTCATGGCAAAAGTTCTTCTCTACACACAGGTGTCTAATTCTCTGTGAAGCCCATGATGGTTCTGAGCTCTCCTGATTAATCTGTTGGAATGCGCCTGAGATTGACTTTTACAAATTCTTGCTGTGAATCGACAGTAGCGCAGGCACCTTTCCAGATGGCCATTCGTTTGGGTTTTCCATACTTACACTTAAACTTGACTTCCGCAGTGGCTCCTCTCTAAAACATTTCCGTCGTAAACATTACCAACTCGCTGTCCGATTATGACTCTCAGAGCGCACCATAACGAAAATTTTCGCCCTAACGTTGGCTATCGACAATTGTCGGAAGCGTTGTCACCTTTTGAATGAATTACAGATTCACGAGCGGAAACAATGTGGTTACTTTCATTCCATCACACTTATCCCATGTTCATGAAGGGTTAGTTTAAAGTAATCTTTTTGTTCCGACAGCTTGACTCTGCTTTTGAGCTGTTGGGACGCCTAACTTTCGAATTCAAAACTCAGAACTGCCAGCAATCAGGGGTTGTGGCGGAGGCTCAATGCAGTGGAGGGCCGCCGCGCCCCACAAATCAGCCTTCCTGTGTTTTGTGTGGTATCGTTGATTGATTTCCTCCTGGTCTCGAAATCTCGTGCTCACAAGACACATGACTCTTCAATGAATGTGTCTGGCTTATAACGTCCTCTGAGTCATCATCACCAATCAAATTCTCGAATTCTTAGGTAATATTTGATCATTGGAATCATTTCTTTTAAATTTTTTGCCGAAAAGATTTATCCCCGAGATTTGCTCGAACCCCTACCTAGATGCATAATGATCCTTAATATTTGCTCAGTACGGTGATGGGTGTCAAGCAAACCACTCGAAAAGCTTCAAAGATCTTCGATTCACTCAAACAGTCCGTTGCTATCAGCCATCTCGGTTTTTTTATTTCATTCGCGAGCTTTTCTTATCCTTCCTGAGAAAAAGTGTAGCATCTTTCTACGCGTATGGCTCAAAGAGGTGATTGCGGGGGGCTTCGAAAAGCCCATTTAGTCATATACGGCGTTCTCTAAATCTCGGCAGATGTAGTTATTGACTTCTTGGATGAAATCCTCGGCGAGGTTAATATAAGTTTTTATTGACGGCTTCTACCGAGCCTGAAAGATTAAAACGATTTATGACTACTCGCGAAACGCCTCAACTACCCTACTGAACATCAGATCTCGGAACTCATCGTGTGATCTAAGCCACTTTCTAAAGACCAACCCGGGAGACGGGCAGTAGGATCGGTTTTTTGGAGTCGATTCGCCGCACGCGGCTTTCGCTGACCATTCGCTTCGCCGTTATTATAGCTCTAACGTTCTTCATACAGCTCATTCGATATGCGATCATTACCTGAGGCATGATTCTACTGTTAGGTTTTTTCTTCCCACCTGCTGCTGCATTCTGCCGCACTCCTTCGCTCGCGACGACTCTCTCGCCGCGAAGCGACAAATTCGGTCTTACTGCACCTCACCCGGCCAATCCATTGCCCTTTGGCTATAAATTCGCAGAAAAGCTGATTACGATGTCGCAATGAAATGTTCCGAGTTCAACGCATCTGCCTAACTTGAGATATTGGATAGAATTCAAAGGCATGGCACATATGCAAGTGACATATCGCCGCATATTTCTTGGACCTTCATCAGAAGTATACCTTCTGTTAGAGACAGGATAGGGTTTTCTCCGAATAAGATAACCGATGAACGTTCTCATGGGCTAACCAAAGTATCCATAAACTTCAGGGGCACAGGCGAAGCTTTGACGATCTTGGGAGTCCTTCGCTTCAATGGAACCGCTATCAAAGTCTTCAAGTTGCACTTGGAACAACTCTTCATCATAGACCAAAAACGTCATTAGGAGCTGCTGGCCGAAAACTTTATAGAGATGCTGCAAACTTGAATCATTCACTGCATTCATGCCCATTGCTGAAGTGTCACTTCAAAATCTGTCTGAAAAGTCCAAAAAACTCAGAATTTTCGAAAGAAAAAACCATCGAGCTTCTTGCAGAGCTTCACGTACCTCGGTCGAGCTTTTTATTGTTCCTAATAGAAAAACTGGATTCACCAGGATTTCATCGTTTTCTTTTCGTGAACACTATGATCCCATCGCTGCAGTACTGTTATTTAGTTAAAAACACAGCTCATATTGAAATGGGTCCCTGAGATTTCATCATTTGATAAACCTGTGACCTCCAAGAACAGTCTGAGGGACGCTGTCGGATCGAAAAACAGACCACAGGGCGTAACAGTGGGCCCCCAAGGCAGGCTCAGCCGACGTACAGAACCAGTGCAACCAGGGTAGACGAGCTCCAAAGCGTTGTAAAAGCTGTAGAGTCGATCAGCCATTCGCATCGGGACCCATCCCTTGCACACAGATACCGTTTTTCAGCAAGCTGTATGCAGTGGCGCGCAAAATTGAACAGCTCGTCCAAGTACCCCTTCCCTGCAATTTCTGTCGTCACATTCTCGTCCAACTCCTAATTTTTCCTTTTTTTTAAACCTTATATTCTTCAATTTTCGATTTTCGGTTTTTGTCGTCACTTTTTCTTTATTGTGGACTTTCATTACTCATCTATAACTAGATATAGCAAAATTATGGTAAATTGTGCCTTTATGTACATTTCTCTGTTTACTGAACTGATCCATTGGCCCTTTTATTACAAGATATGTACACTTATGTAAGTTCTACGGACAATGGTATTTGGACAAACAGTAAGAAGCCATACGCTTCTTTCGACACTCTTTCGGGGAATTTTTTAAGCATTTAAGACCAGGAAAGTCTATAAATTTCATAGACTCTACCCCCATTCAGTGATGAGCTGGGTAAATGAGCTGGTGAGATCGGTTATGTAGGCATTTTACTCCATTCGGTGTTTATTCTCGGGTAGTGTTAGTGCTCCAGCTGCCCTTCCATTCTAATCCTCAACTTTCACGCGTCACTGAACACGAGCTCTATGGCGAACTTCTCATGCGGGGAGCACTTGCTTCTGCATGACCACTCCTCTCCACTTCGCTCCTCCCCTCCTGCTATTTCCATTCGGTCCTCCTCCTTTCTCAACTGACAGAAAGCTCATCATACCTGCTTTTTGCGAAGTCTGGTTCAGCTATCTGTCTCTCTGTCAACGTTCCCACAGCATCCTGCCGTGTCAAACCTGCTCCATTTCCCTGGACTAGATAAATTGCTCCTTTTTCCAGTGCTCCTCCCACATTCCACATCCAATCCACTGACAACATCTTTCTTTCACAACTGAGACTCCCCTCTGAAAAAGTTGACATACCACTGACGCTAATGAGGTCAATGAACTTTCCTACGTTTTTCTTCACCCAACAGGTGGTCATAGTGAGAAGGTGAGCAGTTGTGGGAACGTGGTACAGGCGAAGTTTGTAGAGTGCCAGGAACACAATTCAAATCTGCTTTTTATTGATTACCTACTGATTTTTTTTCCAAATAGTCGTATTCTTTAGGGTGTTTTAGGGTATCATAAAGCTTCTTCCCACTTGAACAGAAGAATTCATCGTGATTCAGCTCATCTTGTCCCTAGAACAACGTGTTTCCTCAAACTGAACATCTTTTTTTTTATATTTTTTCTACTGTCTAATCTTATAAGTGCCACTGCTTTCCCATTTGGGGTTGCGTGGGCAGTATCGACCGGTGTCCAGCGTTGTCAACACGTGGCCAGCAACGGTGTCGGTCAGACGGTTGAAACAGTCATTTTCGGAATCTACGTTTGTAGACGGTTGTTTTTGTGCATTAATGGCCTTTCCTGTATGACGCCATCATAGAAAAAGTGAATAAAGTATGTCCATACCTAATTGGCGTTCAGACTCTATACACAGTAACGGGTAAGTCTGAACAATAAGCATAAAAAACATATTTGCTCTGATCATCCATCTTCCTGCCACTTTGGCACATCACTGAAGTTGATGTGACTGCTTGTAAGTTCTTGTTCCCAAAGCTTGCTACCGATGTTTCCTACTGATGATGTTTCTTGATATTTATTGCAAGAGCCCTAGATTAGGAAGGATGGGTAAGAGCATCGTGCTTTGGACGTCAAAGGTGGGAACCATTTCCGATAGCTTTTCTCAGTTGTTGCGTGGATAAAAACTTGGAAATAACAGTTGTAGACTGTAGCGAGCGTTGACTATGTCTCTTTGCGGGAGGATGTCCGTTGCGCGCGTCCATCAAAAGTAGGTCACTCCGCCCACTTAGCACGTGGCGCACTCCACTGAGGTCTCGAGGAGGGGGGGGGGGGGGGGGGGG